TAATTACCCGGGTTGGAGAGAATCCTTGAGCCACGTTCACATGCTCTTGGACTAACTCCGGAAATTGTGATGCCGAAGGGCACTCACTCAAGTCATGAGCAGGGCTCGCACAAATAACACATACCTCGTGAAATTGAGGGTGATCTTGTTGGGTAGGGGCATAACCTGCAGCTAATAATTGGTCCATTTTGTGGGACAATGCCTCTACTTGTTGGGTTACCTCTAGGTTTTGCCCGACCTCATAAATGCCCCCTCTTTTCGCGGCTCTAACTACTGGTTGTCGGACTTGCCGGGCTGCGGAGGCATGGTGAAGGGAATTATCACTTAGGTTCTCAAACAATTGCCATGCCTCGGCATCATTTTTGGACATGAATGTCTCACCACAGGATGATTCCATCATTTGGCGGTACGGCTCAGTTAAGCCGTAATAAAATGTTTGAACAAGTTGCCAATCAGGCATTGGTGGTGGGGACACTATTGGAAAAGGTCTCGAAGTCTTTCCCATGTCTCATGGAATTGTTCGCCATCAATTTGAGCAAAATTGGTGATGGCTCGCCTAAGTTGGTTGGTTTTACCTATGGGAAAGTACTTCTCCAAGAACCGTTGCTGTGATTGGTCCCAAGTTGTGATTGAATTAGCAGGTAAGGAATTCAACCAGTGTTTGGCTTTATCCTTTAATGAGAATGGAAACAATCGCAACATTAGGGCCTCATTTGTGAAATTCTAGATCCTCACTGTCGAGCAAATTTCCAGAAATTCATTCAAATGTTTGTAAGGATCATCATGAGCTAGTCCATAGAATGATGGGAGCATTTGTATGGTGTTGGACTTAATCTCATAATGAGCAACAGTGGTGTTAGGTAATTGGATACATGATGGTGACGTATATGCAGTGGGTGTGAAATAATCCTTAAGGGTTCGGTTGGGCACATTTGGGACATTTGGATTTTCCATCTCTAATGGCTTAATGTATGAATATGAATATCCAAGCCTAGGAACACGGGCAAAGGCTCTAAGTCTCCTAAAAGTCCTTTCTAGTTCAAGGTCCAAACTCCACAATTCAGGGCGACAAGAACGGCGCCCGTGCATACACTACTCATACACACTCGAAAAGTTCTGACTTTGTGTACTAAGTTACGAAAACAAAATACCAAAGGGAGAAATATTCACAGCGGTTTAACGAAAACGCTTTACTTGTCTTGCGGGTTCTTGACGTGTAGACGTTGTCTCTAACCTCTAATTGAGCTTTGTCTTTCTTTTTAGCACTTTGGTACTTTGCTTGCGAGTGTTTGCTTCTATTTAAGCACTTTAGTGCTGTGATTTTTTTTTTTTTAAACTCGGTTGCGCTCCGCTTGCACTTTAGTGATAGTTTCCACTTTCAAACGCTCTGCACACTTAGCAACACAAAAGCATAAAATTCTAAACTAAAAATTAAAATAAGAATATAATTTTAAATTAATTAATTTCACCAGAAGTCCCCGGCAACGGCGCCAAAATTTGATGGGTCGTTGAACACACCAAAATTAAACATAAAACTATACCAAATTCTATCAGAATAATGGCAAGTCCAGATATCGATCTATAGGGACAATTGTGAAAATAAACTAATTTAAGTGTTAAATTCCTAAATTAATTTTGATGAAAAGATTGATTGTTCATAACCTAATTTAACAACAAATAAATTAAACTAAGTAATTAAATTAACAATTTATAAATAAAATTGGATTTCCTGATTTGGGGAAAAACTTAGGGCAATGAGTCCACCACAAGTTACGTAAATAGGGTTTCAAATTGAAAACAATTATGATATGATTCGAACGGAATAATGCTTTGCAACTACAAGTTCAAAGCGTTTAACAAGAAAATCATCACGTTCAATGCACGAGCACGAACCATCTCAAGTAGCAGGAATCATTCACTCTAAACTAAGGTAGTGACATGACTCGTCTCTCGTAGTTTGGTTCGTCTTATACCCTGAATGTGAAAGAATAGAAAACTCTTGTATGGAAAACATTCAACAATCACAGAAAGCCAAATATTTGAAGGAGTAATGGAAAATATATATATATATATATATATGAAACTTCTAAAACACTATACAATTGTTCAAACCTTTACATAATTGAAAATCAAAAAGAAAAACCTAATTACATGGCTAGGGTTTCATCAAAGCCCTAGAAAAGAAGACTAGCCACTCATGAAGGAGTAGAAAGAGAAAGAAGATGAGGAAGAGGCACCCATAGAAGTGTTCTTCAAGCTTTAGGAGAAAAATCCCTCTTCAGAACCCTAGCCTCCCTTTTCTCTGAATTAATTTTCGACCCTAGGTTTGGCTATTTTTCTTTCTTTTATTCTCGACAAAACAGACCAAAAATCTCGTGCACGCGTCCCTAGGTGGGCCGCTCGAGCGCCCATGTGGGCCGCACGAGCGGTGGTGGGTTGCACGTGCGGTGAAACTTGGCCGCACGTGCGGTGGTTTGGCTAACTCGGATTTTTCACTTCTCGTACGGAGGATCTGCTTTCTCGACCTTTTTGATTGAATTTTCATATTTCCTGCGAAATTTGTATAAGTGCACGAAACACATCATCTCTACCAAATAAACAAAATTGAAAGACTAAAAATGTAACTTAAGTGGCCTCAATGTGGTACCTTTCGGCCTACATCAGTAACCGTTGGGCTGGACGTTCGCCTAAACTTCTTGTCAGACAACCGGATTTCTGGTATTTTCTATTTCTCACCTGACAATTGGCCGAATTGATGAAAACTGTTGGAGAGTGTGATATCATATCAAACTTTTCATCAAATTTTTACTCAAATTTGATAAAAAGTTAGAGATGTTCTGAGAGGATTTGATTTCTAAATATATATTTTTTTAAAAAAAATTAATTTTGAAAAAAAAAAAAAAACACTTACAAATATTATAGTGACTAATTTTCTTATTATTTTTCTATATTTGAATTTTTGGTCCTAACATTACTATTTTACATATTGTGGTAGTAGATTCTCTCTAGTGCAAAATCTAAACTGGAGGGCATTATTTGGGCCCATGGGGCATATCAATAGTTTCGTTTTGATAATTCGAATTGTTATTTTGTCAGATACTTTGTATATTTTATTCATAAAAAATGAAATCAATTTGGTAATCGTAATCAATCTGAAGAAAAGAAGGAAAAAAAAAATACACACTTTTCCGGTCAACTAGCTGAACGTTTGGAGGGATATCTAGGAGGATGACTAGACAGACGTGTTTTGAAAAATAAGTGTAGAATCAATTTTTGAAAGCACTAACCAAAAACTACACTCAAAGCAAGGACCGGCATCAAAGTTTCTAGGCCTTACCAAAAACAGCCTTATTTTGTCTATTTTATTTAATATTTTTTAGATTTTGTTTATGGTGTGTTATATAATTACATTTTTTTATCTTTTTATCTTTTTTGGGTCACATCACCTCTCTATTTTGGGGTCTTTTGGAAAGAAAATAAAAAGTCAACTTTTAATTTTTTACTCATTTTAGGTCACATCACCTCTCACATTTTTCACCTACAAAAAAACAAAATAGACTAAGCCCCGGTTTGATTTTTGAGTTGGGACTAAATAAGCACATATGGACAAAAAAAAGCTACAAAATCACAAAATGACAAAACACTTGACTTTTGATACAAAATTACCAAATTGACTCATATACAGACAAAAAGTCAAAAAAGCATCATTTCCAAGTGAAGGGCAATTTTGTCATTCCAATGCAAAAAAGTCAAAAAAGCCAAACAAGAAAACTAAACAAATAAAAAAGTTCCAGGTTAAATAAGTCAAAAAAATAAAAAAAACCAACATTGCCAAACAACCCCTAAAAAAGTCAAAAATTCAGCTTTTTACCAACTTCCTAAAACACTCATTTTCTGAATAATTTTTCGTAAAAAGTTAAAACGTACAGTTATTTAGATCATCCCCAAAAGTCAAAAAATTACTAAAAAGGTTAAAAAGTCTAAACTATTTGGGAGAAGCTTGTGGGGGAAGCCTAGAGACCAAAATTATTATTTTATTTTTTGAATTCAACTACCAAAAAGTTAAAAGTTAAAAGTCAAAAAATCAACAAGGATAGAATAGATATTTTGATTTTATTATAATATTTTATTACACATTTTCGTAAAAAGTTAAAAAATTATCTCAAATATAAATCTTTTTTTCTTTATTTTTTTAGCTAAAAAATCAAAAAATACACTTATATAACACATTTTAATTTTATATTGTTAAAAAAATAAAAATAATAATTGTGCTCCAATCTCAAAAAAAATAAAAATAAATAAATAAAAAATAAAACAAAACAAAAAGTTGTACAGTAATCGGTTGTCTGATTCTCTTGTCCGTGTATTATATTTTATTATATAACATATGAACAGTAGTATTTTTTTTTTTTCTTTTACATTTGGATTGAATTTAAATCATATAATATTTTTCTTGATTTGAAAATAGCATTTAATGTTTCGTCAAAAGAGGCACTTCTGTAATTATTTATTGTGACAAAATTAATGAAAAATTAATTTAAAAATAATTTGTTGAGTTATTTTATGATTTTTGCTAATTATAGATATATTTGACAGGTTCATTTGAACTAAAATAATTATATAGAATAAAATTAACTATTTTAATTTAATAAAATAAAATATCACATTTAAATTATAATTATTTTATTTTTTCTCTCACAAAAATAAAAAAAAAAAACTTATCACAAATGAAAATTTTAATTCCAATTAAAATAATTAAATAATTAAAAAACTAAAAAGCTAATCCATGCTCTAAACTAATGTTGTGTTTGGTTGAAGGATTTGAGGAGGGATTTGGAAAGGGAAATAGAAAAGGTAGGTGAAATGTGAAAAAAATATACCTACATTTCACATAGTTTCACACACTTTTTTCCTTTCTAAATCTCTCCTCAAATTCTCCAACCAAACACAGCATAAAGGAAGGCTGTACTTAACTCAAATCTACATTTATTGAGCATGCTGATGCGGATGCTCTTATATTTTCCCATTCAAGCGACAAAGAAGAAAGAGAAGGAAGAAAGAAAGATCAGTAATGGAAAGCAGGGGGAGGAGATGCAGAGAGACAAGTCCAGACAGGGCCAAAGTATGCGTGAAGCCAAGGGTGGTTGTGAAACCAACCTTGAGAAAGGTTCAAGTTGTGTATTACCTCTCCAGAAATGGTCATCTTGAACACCCCCATTACATGGAAGTCACCCATCTCTCCCACCAACACCTTCGCCTCAAAGGTATATTATTTTTACTTTTAGATTGTTCATTCTTGCTTTTAGTTTTAGGCTATCTTTGGTCAGTATTGAGTGTAAAAAATGTCTATACAGATGTAATGGACCGCCTTACTGTTCTCAGAGGCAAAGGCATGCCCTCTCTCTACTCCTGGTCTTGTAAAAGGTACACTCATTCTTCCAATTTCTCTCTCTCTCTTTCTCTCTCTCTCTCTCTCTCTAATTTCATAAATGTTGTTTGTTACAGGAGCTACAAGAATGGGTATGTGTGGAATGACTTATCAGAAAATGATGTTATATATGCATCTGAAGGAGCTGAATACGTTCTTAAAGGCTCTGAACTCTTAGATGGATCCACTGGTATATTTCACAAACTCATCAAATTTAGCTAATCCACCCCACTCCACTCCACAGTTATATTTTGTTTAGAAATTTTGTTAATTTTCTTTAAATGAAAATTATTTATAATTTCAGAACAATTCAAACAACTTGAAGTTAGCAGCAGATCACAGCAAGTCCCTGACCCCACCAACCACCCAAAACGCAAACATTTAGCTCCAAAACGACACTCTGAACCAGAAGAAGTGGACAACATTAATCGATATGAAGACGAAGATGACGTGGACAATGAAGAAGAAGACGAAGAAGAAGATGAAGAAGAAGAAGAAGAAGAAGAGGACAAGACGAGCTATACAAGCTCTGTGACTCCGACTCAGTACTCTTCTCGGTGTTCTAGAGGAGTTTCCACTGAAGAGACTGCGACTGAGTTAAACCAACACGACTCCGCTCACAAAAACAACCCAACCTCCGAGTTAACTCCAGACAACTCGTCTCCTCCATCAGCTACTTCTTCCGTTGTCTCTGACAAAGCCAATGACACCAATAACAACAGCAACAGCAACAACAACACATCCAAACGATTCGAAGATGGCGACCCAGTTACCACTGAGTCAACACTGAGTCGTGGCTCGGTGCTACTCCAATTGATTTCTTGCGGCGGGTCGACGTCGTTTAGAGGAAAGACTGTGCCGGTCGTGAAGGAACAGTCGCCGCCGCCGCCGCTGCCGCCGAGGAAGAGTGGGACGGCGACAAGTCTTCATAAAGGGGTGCTGTGTAAGACGGCGGCGAAGGTGGTGGTGGTGGAGGAGGAGATGATAAGGTGTATGTCGGAGAATCCGAGGTTTGGGAACTCACAAGGAGAAGAGAAGGAGTACTTCAGTGGGAGCATTGTGGAGTCATCAATGGCGGAGGAGAGAGTTCAGGTTCAGCCAGGGTTGCAGAGATCGTCTTCTTACAATGAAGAAAGGTTTGTGACGACTCACTTTTGCTTATCTTCTTAATGCTTGCCCTAATTGAAATCTATGAATTGCTTCCTCGGTTCCATTTTGTTAGCCTTTTTTTTCCATTTTAATGTGTCCCAAAATATTAGTATTATTTTAATTAAATAAATTTAATGTCACCATGTTTAGTAAAGTTTTTATTCGTGTCATTTCTCGAGTGTTAGGCCTCGTGTAGGAAGTAGTCTCGTATGGAAACAGTCCGTTTAGTTAAAAAATTAAAAAATTGTTAAAAAAGTTAAAAAATTATTAACTCATATCAAAGAGTCAAAAATTTTCTTTTCTCTCTACTTTTTACACAATTTTTCGTAAAAAATTAAAAATCATCTCAAACCTACTAATTTTTTTAGCTCATATTTTAATCAAATAATCAAAAAATTACTAAATTAACTTGTTCTCAAACAAGGCATTAATCTCCATCAAATTAGTTATTTTTATTTTTTAACTAAAATAGTAAATAAATTATCAAATTTCAACTCCATCAAATTAGTTACCATGGTAGCTACTTTAGTTTTTGGGATTTTGACTCAACAACTATAGCTAGTAATTTTGACTAGTCAAATATTAAAAAGTTAATCATTATTTTGTTTCAGTTTTTTGAATTAAGTTTTTTTAAAATTGAATTTTTTTATTTTTCGTATTTTTTATTTTTAGTAAATATTTTTAAAAATTTAAGTATTTTTTTAAAATTTTTTAGATACACTTTATTTAGATATATCTAAAAAATAAAATGTGTGAAAAAATATTTTAAAAAATTAATAAATATATAAAAATACGAAAAATATACTATTTTTTATATTTTTGATATTTAGTGAATTTTTTTAAATAAATTTACAAAAATTATATTTTTAAGTGTATTTATGTTAAGTGTGTTTAAAAATTAAAAAAATTAGTAAAAATACAAAAATAAGAAAATTGAATTTTTTGAAAAGTGTTTTCAAAAAATTAACAAAGTGAATAATTATCATTTTTATTTTTTTTAAATCCAACAGAGTGAATGGAACTAAGAGCATCTCCAATGGAGCTCTTAAAACACTTGTCAAAGCTATAATTTAGCAATAGTGATAAAAAGTGAGTCTCTAATGGCTTGTTATTTTACTTGCCAAATATGGCATATGCCATATCTGTTCTCAAATTTGGCAAGTAAAATAGCAATTGCCAAACATGCCACATCAGTAAATATGAACATATTTGTGGCTCCAAATTCAGTTGAAAAAACAAAATTGAAACAGTAGAAAACCAAGTAATTTTTCTATTTAATTTTTCAAATTTAATTATATTTAATTTTTTTCTAATCAGATCAATCACTTTTTTTTAAAATTTTTTCTCCAAAACAACTTTTCAAAAGACAAATCAAATAAGTTTTCATATTTTTTATTTTAAAAATTATTCAACAAACACAAACTAAACTCACCTATAATTTCCCAATACATGTAAAGACTGTACGAATCTTTCTTAATTTATATGTATCTATGGAGCTGTTATTTTCATACTTGTTCTGAATTCTTTTAATAACCCTCTGTTTATTGCCAGACTTCTTTTGGATGATGAAAACCCCTCGAGATAAAGTACCAATTTTGATCATCCAATTTACATCAAAGACAATTCACCAAACTCGAGAATTATGGGAAAGAAATAACTTCTCATCAGAATTTGAATAAGTACCACACACGACAAAATTGCTACACTACTAGAGTAGAGCCTTGATTTTCTACAAAAAATATAGTTTGCTAGGTGAAAAATAATGAAATTCATCTGGTAATATACAGTAAACCTCATATATATATATATATATATATATATTTGGTACAAAATTAAATTTTAGAAAAATCATTATACATCATTCTGATAAACTTCTATTATAATAATTTTAAGTAAAATTCATTTTACTGTATATATATATAACTGTGTGTTTTGAATGGAAGCAGGAGTTGCAAAGCAGGAGGAGTGGGAGAAGAAGCAGTGGAGAAGGAAGAAGTTGAAAGAGAGAAACCAAAGATGAAAGGCAAGTGCATTCCCATTAATAAAATGTCATCCACTAAAAAACACCCCAAGAAATGATAGCAATGTCTCATCAGTTAAAAAGAGTTGTTGGAGTGACTAGTAGTAGTAGTAAATTGTGAAGAAGGGGTATTTATTTGCTGTGGATTTGACTTGTCGCAGTTATCATCATCTTCCATTTATATATAGGGTTCCTATCCTAGTAGAGCAAGAAGAATTAACTGAGAAAGGTAAAAGGAAAAAAAAAATGGAAAAAGCGAGAAACATTTGGAATGGTGAAAGGGCCATGGCACTCTGTTCATATAGGTGCAGTGCAGGTGGGGTGGTATGATAGTTTTGACTTTTGGTGCTTAATGTTAATTGATGATGATCTTAATACATGTCAGCCAGCCATATCACTTGGGCGTTTATCTGCATAGATAAAATAGAAAGGATTTATAATGAGGAGATTAATAGTGAGGGATTTATTAATGAGAAGTAGAAGAAGCAGAAGAAAATACATAAAATATATATATATATATAAATGTCTAATTTTATTAATATATAAATCGTACTTGCATAATAAATGACTAATTTTATTAATAAGTTAATTAACAAATTTTAATTGTATGAAAAATATTTTTTAGTTAAGCATTTTGTTAATAAATAAATCATTAAGTCAATTAATAGTTTTTAATGATATGAGAATTTTTTTTTAATAAACAATTTTGATAATTTATTATTGCATAGGAGAATAGTTTTTTTCCGTGAATATTGTGTTAAATTAAAATTTAGGATATTTACCAATAAATCATATTTTACAAACAAGTACTCTAATTAGTCCCAAATTTTTGTTTTGTTGATCTATTAAAGTCTTATTAATAAAGAGTTTATTTCCGTATAGTCCTATTTTTTATTTTGGTATTGTTTTGGTGGATAACTATATCATTTTATTAATGTGATATGTATGATGTGATATTCCAATGTGACAAGTATTAATTTGACATTCCAAAAAAATTTAAAACTCCTTAGTGTACTTTTTCCCAATGTAACAACGTGGCGGGTATGATATGATACTCCAAAACTTTTACTCCCAAAAAAAAAAAAAAATTTTTTTTAGTGCACTTTTTCCAAATGTGACAACGTAACGAGTATAACGTGATACTTCAAAAAAAAAAAAATAATAACTTTTTAATGTACTTTTTTCAAACGTGACAACGTGATAGGTATCATGTGATACTCTAAAAAAAATTTAAAACTCTTTAGTGTATTTTCCCAAACGTGACATGTAACACTCTAAAAAAATTAGAAATTCTTTAGTGTACTTTTATCAAATGCGACACTATGTGACACTAAAAAACTTTTTAGTGTATTTTTTTTTTCTAAAAGTGACATTCTAATGTGGAGGGAAAATGAGTCATTATATATCCAAAAAGGACTAAATGGATCACAAGGAAAAAAAATATGGAACTATATAAATTACAAGTCCAAAATATGGGACTTATTTCTAGTATTATAAGACCAATTCATATTTTAAACAAACCTTATGATGTATTTGTAATTTGTTAAAAAATAAAATATTTATGTTTTATAATTGACAAAGAATGTTTGATAAATTACGAACTGTTTCATAATTGATCAAGAATGTTCGTATAATTATGAAAAAATATATTGCATAATTGACTGAGAATGTTTATGTAATTAAAAAAAAAAAAATTCACTTAATATATAGACTACCATTAGTAAATTATTCAAAATGAAAGAGTAAAATCGAAAAGAAAAGACGAATCTCATACTGTTAAGCAGTTCTTATATATATATATATATATAGATATATTTAATTTTTATTTTTATAATTTTTTTTTAAAAAAATTTGTTTACTTTCTCAGTCTGTCTTGTGTAAATGTATTTGAAAAGTTAGGGGTAAAAAAATCATTAATTAAAAAAACACACAAAAAAGTCAATTGTTGTTATTTTTTGGGGTCCTATTTGGTTTTTTAAAAATTTTGTTATTATTATTTTTTTTTTCTTCAGTTCGTCTCACAAAAAAGTCAATTGTTGTTATTTTTTTTGGCCCTATTTGGTTTTTTAAAAATTTTGTTATTATTATTTTTTTTTCTTCTTCAGTTCGTCTAATTGAGTAGAGTCTAAATGTGTAAACTTTTTGAAAAATTCATTAAAAAAAAAAAAAAAACTACTAAAAAAAAGCAAACACCAACGCCCACTAATTATTATAGTAATAAAAAAATTCACTTATTCAAAAGGGCAGTGATTCTTCTCCCTAAAAATAAAATTCCAAAGGAAACTCTATACTCTTGGCAATGAATAATAATAAAAGAAAAATTAAAATATCACATCAATTAAGAGGTATCATCCACAAAGCTCCATTAGAACTCTTTGGCCTCGTTTGGGAACAGACTAATTTAGTAATTTTTTGACTATTTGACTAAAAAAGTAAGTAAAAAAAACTTGTATGTTTGGGATGACTTTTTAACTAATTACGAAAAGATGTGCAAAAAATAGAGAGAAAAGAGAATCTTTGATTTTTTGGTATAAGTTGTTGGCTTTTTGACTAATTTAGTAACTTTTTGACTAATTAGCTAAAAAGGTAAGTCTCCAAACGGGGCCTTAGTAATTGTTTGGAACGTGTTGTATAAATATATTTTTTGACTTTTTGGTTTAAAAAATAGAGAAAAAAAGATATAAATTTAGAATAACTTTTTAACATTTTACAAAAAAAAATGTGTAATAAAATATTGTAATAAAATTAAAATGACAATTTTACCCTTTTAACTTTTTAACTTTTTAAATAATTAAATTTAAAAAGTAAAATAATAATTTTACCCTAATAATTTCCCCCACCAACTATTGTTGAATAGTACAGACTTTTAATTTTTTTACTAACTTTTTAATTTATCGAAAGAAGCCTTAATTTAGAATTTTAAAATATTTTTGCTTATTCAAAAATATATATTCACAACAATGATACATCCCACTAATTTGGGAGCACTAATGGACCACTAATGAGGTGGAAATTCAAAAAAAAAAAAAGAAAAAAAAAAGAACTTAAGGTCAAAACATCACATCAGTCAGTGGGACCCACTCTCTAGAGCTCCTTTAGTGCTCCTAATTTAGAGCTCCCAATCATTTTTTTATGAGTAATGTTAGGGATCATGAAAAATATATCATGAAATATATTATGAAAATTTTTCATCCCTTGATTAGTCTTGATTAGTGTGTGATGTTTTATTGTAAGGGTAATTCAAAGGTTGAGAAACTTTCATGATAATATTCATGATATATTTTTCATGATCCCTAGCATTACTGTTTTTTTATATATTCCTCCTTTACTTGCCGGCCATCACTTATCACCGCCACGTGACATCACATCTGGTCAAATTGTTGCCCAAAATGATGTGTGTTGGGCTAATATTTTTGAAACTAAATAATTATAAAAAGATGAAATAGATTATATAAATTAATAAATAAAATATTATTTTTTATTCATAATTATTACATTTTTTTTCATCATAAAAGTCAAAAAAATTCCAAAATAAAAATCAAACAAAACTAAAAAAGTCTTAACACAAAAAAGTTAACTAAAAAAACTAATGTCAAATGAGCACTAAATTTGTTCTTTAATTTTCTTTACATCTTACTTCTGCTAAGAAATTGGACAAAATGCATGAGCAAAATAATCCAATCAATAGAAAATGGGTCATTTCAAATGAAAATGGGTCTCCGCTCCGGCGAGCTTCAAAACTTGTTTTTCTCTCTTCTGATCTTTCAGTGTAGGGGGAGGGGGGGACCTATTGAAGGTCGCTTTCTTTGCCGGCAGTGCTTCAATCCAGTTGATTTGGGTTTCTTTTCCGGCTTTGACTTGGTTTCCCCTCCCCTCGGTCTCATTCGGTTGATCTGGGTTTAATCGGCTTTTCTAGGGGTTTTGCGGTGGGGTTCCGGTGGTCTGGTTGCTGTTCTTTTTTGTGTTTTCTGACGATCTATACGGCTTGCTTCCACTTTGTGGACCGGGTATTTCACGACGAGACAACTCGTTTTCCAGTAAATTTTCTAGTGAGCTTTCAATTACCTTTTCTGATCTTGCACTTTCTGGGTGCTTGGAACAATGCTCAAGAAAGGCTTTCTTCTCAACTCTAAAGTGGTCCTCAAACGTCTTTCCAAAGAAGAGAAAGGCAAAGGCATCGTCATGTGCTCAGGATATGCTGCAGGGTTCCTTATCCCCGGACTTATTATCCAGTTTGGACTCGTTGGACATGGCTCTAATTCAGGATTCTCTGGGCAATGATTTTCAATTTGATTGGCATGCTGCTTTGGAACATATACAGCCTAAAGTGAGCTTGGATGATACAATCTTTCCACTAACAAAAGGCCGTGAACAACCTGGGTCTTCTAATACTGGTGTTGCTGTTGAACTGGGTGGTCATTCTCCGAGTAAGGATAATGAACCAGGAAACGAAGCAGGGTGGGATTGCGGCAATGTCGTCAGAGAGGGGCCTCACAGTGAGATTGGTTGCAGTAAGAATAGTGAGGTTGATGTGTCTGGTACTTTGCTCAACAAGGATGATAAGCCTACGCCGAAGGTCAAGCGTCGAAGAAGAGTGCATTTGGGCAAGGATTTCCTCTTCATTGATCGTAACTCATGTCAAGCTCTTCAATCCGGTGGATCCTTTCAGTTTTTACACCGACAGAGTTTGTCGGTTGTTGAAGTTCGAATTCGTGGACACTCTGACCTAATTCTACAAGCTGCAGTAGTGGATATTGAAATGGAGGAGCAAGCACCGACTTTTGGAAAAACTTCTTTGTCTGATAATTTTATGTTTTGTTGTGCAGGTCGGCCAAAAAGAATTCGTGCTCCCATACCTCGTCGTCCTAATTCCTCTAAATTGATCTTTGCAATTGCTGTTGGTAAACGCAAGCGGGAGCCACGAATTGAAGATTCCTACTCTCATCCCAATCTTTTCAGGCCACCTCGGCGTCGAGCTTGTGGACCAAGCTAGGGATTCTTTTGTTGGTGCTTGTTTATTCTAGTTTTATTTGTACTCATGATTATTATAACGTGTAATGCTGTTATTTTGCTTATTAATCTAATGGTGATTTCATCGTCCTCAAAAAAAAAAAAAAGAGTTGGTTTGGATTGTAGGTTGATTTTTTTATTTTTTAGTTTGGAATTAAAAAGTTTCATTTGGGATAGACTTTTTTATTTTTTTGACTTTTGTGAGAAAAAAAATTAAATGCTTATGGGTTAGATGTAACATTTTTCCCTATTTGGCTAAAATAACTAATTTTGTCCTATATAACTATTTTAGCCTAAATTTGCTTCCCAAACGGAGCATAAGTTGATTTTAGTCTGATTTTCAAAAAGATATTATCAATTAAATTACAT